AAAAAAAAAAAAAAAAAAACAAAACCTTAGCTTGGGAACTTCCCTAGTGGTCCAGTGGTTAAGCCTCAGTGCTTCCAGTGCAGGGGGCATGGGTTTGATCCCTGTTTGGGGAACTAAGATCCCACATGCCATGTGGTGTAGCCAGAAAATTTTTTTTTTAAATTTTAAATAAAAAAACCTTAGCTTGTATCAAAATTAAAGCCTTCACATAAAGAAAACCAGTCTTTTTTTTATTTTTTCAAGCCTATTTAAATTGTTTCTAGCAATTAAAAAGTTCTAAGATGTGGTTTTAATCTTGCATAATCATACCTTTGGAAGTTTCTATTTGTGTAGGTTGGCTTTATGGCTTATTTATGCAATCAGGTATTGTAATTTTATTGAAATGAAGTACTTTGTGTGTGTGTCACATCAGACCTTTGTGGCACTTTTTAAAAGCCATTGTTGGCAATAAGCTGTGTTTTTTGAATTCCTAGTAAAACATGACCTCTTACTTCCCATTGTTTAATGGCACAGACATGGTTGGCCTGATTGAAGACATCTTCACATTGGGACTAGATTTCAGTGCTCTAGGTTTTGTGCATAGAAATCTTGTCAAGGAAAAGGGGTATTGTTAGGTCATTGATAGTCATCTGCTGCTGGGAATTAATCACATAACAGTAAACTTGTAATGTAAATTTCGATGCCTTCTTTTTGTAATGAGCTCTGTTCTGCCTGCTAGATACATCATATTTGATTAAAAATTGACAATTGCTCATCACAAGGAAAGGAGGAGGGGCATGTTTTCAAAAGGTACAGGAATCTAAGCAAGAACTTGGATCCCAAGTGCAAACATAGTCTCCAGGCTGTTTGAAAAAAAGTGTTCTGCTGCTCATCCACCTTGAGACGGACTTATGGACACAGAGGGGGAAGGGAAGGCTGGGATGAATTGAGAGAGTAGCACTGACATACATGTACTACTGTGTGTAAAATGGATAGCTAGTGGGAAGTTGCTTTATAGCACAGGGAGATCAGCTCTGTGCTTTGTGACCACCTAGAGAGGTGGGATAGGGAGGGTGGGAGGGAGGCTTAAGAGGGAGAGGATATATGTATACATATAGCTGACTCACTTTGTTGTACAGCAGAAACTAACACAACATTGTAAAGCGATTATAATCCAATAAAGGTGTAAAAAATAAAATAAAAGTCTGACCTATCCTTAAGGAACCTGTTTCTTTTTTTAAATGAATTTATTTATTTATTTATTTATTTATGGCTGCGTTGGGTCTTTGTTGTTAGGTCTTCGTTGCTGCGCGCGGGCTTTCTCTAGTTGTGGTGAGCGGGGGCTTCCCTTCGTTGTGGTGCGCATGCTTCTCACTGCAGTAGCTTCTCTTGTTTCGGAGCTCAGGCTCTAGGCTCACGGGCTTCAGTAGTTGCAGTACATGGGCTCAGTAGTTGTGGCTCGCAGGCCCTAGAGCGCAGGCTCAGTAGTTGTGGCACATGGGCTTAGTTGCTCTGTGGCATGTGGGATCATCCCGGACTGGGGCTTGAACCCATGTTCCCTGCATTGGCAGGAGGATTCTTAACCACTGCGCCACCAGGGAAGACTGGAACCTGTTTCATTCCAGCCTCCCTAAGGGAGTTTTCTTAGTATCATTTGGAAGTTGTCAGGATGATTGTGGAATTTTCCCTCTACTTATGGAAATTCCTGGGCCTTTCCACATGTGCTCTTTTCCACCTGTTCAAAAGTATGCTCTAGAACTTGTCTTACCCTGAGGGTATTTGAAGGAAACTTCAGCTCCTGCTATGCTCAACTGGTTAATCCTGCCACATTCCTTAAGAAGACAGTATCATAGGAGACCTTAGAGCTGATCTAGGTTTGAAATTAATCAACCAACTACTTATGTGACTGACTTTGGGCAAGTAGTTTAACCACCTGACACCTCAGGGTTTTCTTCTGTAAATTGGGAATAATGTTTCATAGACTTATGAGAATTAAATGAAATAATTCACATAAAGCTCTTATCACAGTATCAGATAGTAAGTGCTTTATATAAAATAGCTAGTTATTTTACTGAGTATCTCTTTTTGTGTGTATTCCATAGGATATTATGTTCTCCTAGAGAAAGTATAATGATTGTAGTCCTACTTTATAGTTTTTTCATCTTTTTCAAAGGCATGTATTTTCTAAACCATACTGAAATTTGGGGTGAAATCACTTACCTTGACATACTGCCTCATTCTTATGGTTATTACAGGCTATGCATTCCTTCTCTTTCAAGAAGAGAGCTCAGTTCAGGCACTAATTGATGCTTGTATTGAAGAAGATGGAAAACTCTATCTGTGTGTTTCCAGCCCTACTATCAAGGACAAACCTGTAAGTAAATGCTACTCAAACTTTAAGTTACAAATTCAAGTTTTCCAAAAACAGTTTTGAAATGATTGTTAGTGAAAAAATAAATAAACTACCATTTTGAGTTCAATTTTTTTTAATTCATATAATTTATTATATCTGGATAAAAAATTAACAGTTTGTTTCCAAACCCATCTATTCAAAATTTTGAACAGTACAGTGGCACAAAGCTCATCAGCTATTAAAGGAGTGACACCTAATACAGTAATGTCATTTTCTTCATAGGTTCAGATCCGTCCTTGGAATTTAAGTGATAGTGATTTTGTGATGGATGGTTCTCAGCCTTTGGATCCTCGAAAAACAATTTTTGTTGGAGGTGTTCCTAGGCCATTAAGGGCTGGTAAGTAGAATGTTAACAAATTTTGTTTTTTTAAAACAATCATTTAAGTATGAATTGATTCGGTACGCATTTGGTACTATTGTGTACATGTCACCACTGGGTGGGTGAAGGGCAGATTCTCCTGCTCCAATAGCTACTTGCTACAGAATTTTGAGACAAATTCTGAGAATTGTTCTTAACACCATTAAGGAACTGGAGAATTGGACACTCATCTATCAATATTGATAGCTAATTCCAAACAGACTCTGTAAGAAGAATCCACTCAAATACTGCATTTATGACTTCTTAAGTGTAACTCTCTAAGATAATGAGAATTTGGGTTCTTTTTATGGAGGTTGATTCTGATATCTGAAGAAGAAATATGGGATTTTTTTTAAAGGCACTTTAGATAAGTGAATGATAAACTTCTGTTCATCAGTAATCAGGAACCAGAGATCTACCAGAAGAGGTCATATAGGAACATAATTATAGATGTAAATGCCCGCCATACAAGCAAGTTTTATGATACTGTGTACCCTTGTGAAGTGTGTTAGTGCCTTCCATCACTGAAAGCATCCTCTTCCAGTATGGGAGGTGCATGTTAAAGAACTATTCACACATGTAAATACTTACAGACATAGCTACTACAAAGAAAGACTAAGGGGAACAGAAGAGCATACAGCAAGGAAATGTGCTGTAGTCTGATATTTTAAAGATGCTTGTATTTGAGCTGTCATATAAAGATTGAACAGAAGGAGCAGGGTTAGGTGGTAGGAGGTTGTGAACAGTGTTTCAGACAAAGGGAACAGCATATTCAAAGATCTTCAGTGGAGGGAAGCAGAGTGCCTCGGAGAGACTGAGGGAAGTCCAGAGTCACGGCCTAGGGTATAAGGAATGAGGTGAGAGATACAAGAAGACATTGAAAAAGTAAATAGGAGTCAGATCATACAAGTCTAATAGCTAACTTGTTATTTGTCCTCAGAGCAACTGGAAACCAATGAAGAGTTTTTAAGTAAAAGAGAGACTTGATCATATTTTCATTTTTAAAAGACCAGTTTAGTTAATGACTTGTGGAGAGGGGCGTCAAATTGAGAGTAGTTATACGTAGACCAATTTAGGAGCCTGTTATTGGAGTCCAGGAGACAAATAGTGGTGGCTTGGGTTAGTGGTAGTGGTGGTGGTGGAAGAGCCAACATTACAGATATTTATAAGATAAATGCAAAGGCTGAATCTCAGTTTTCAGTCTTAAGCTACTAGGTAGACACTGGTACCGCTAACTGAGAAGATAAAGAACACTGGAGAAAGAGCAGGTTGGAAGAAGATTGTGGTATTGGTTTTGAAAGCTAGTTTGTGCCACCATTCAGAGTTCCCAAGGAGAAATTTCAGTTAAGCCACTGGTATCTGCTATATTTTTAAGAGAATCACTCTTGCTGCTGTTCTGAAAATAAACTTGGGGCAGGGGGCAGAAACAAGGAGATAAGTCTATTGCCATGATCTAGATGAAAAAGAATGATACCTTGAAACAGGATGTTAGTGATGGAGGCAAAGAGATTGGATTCTAGATATGTCTTGGAAATCAAGTTCAGAGGATTGCATATACAGTGGGGAAAAAAGAAAATAGAAAGGATGAAGCCAAGGGTCTTGAGTTGGCAACTTCATCTTTTCCATTGCTTACTGAGTCAGCAAAAACTCACTTGAGTAGGTTTAATTGGATGGTGGAAGATCAGGAGTGCCATTTAGAACATACTGAGTGATGCAGTGTCTGTTAAATATCAATATGACTTGCCCAGTAGACAGTTGAGTTGTCCAGTTCTTCTATGGTGAGAGCAGGTGAGCTCTAGTATACAAGAGAAAGGATTAGATTTAGAAAAGAGCATTATCCTATTGACTTTCACTTAAAAAAAAAAAGTACTTAAAAATTGTTGATTTACTGTGTTCTCTCCCATTTGATGTGAACTACTTTTCCTTTTCAAGTGGAGCTTGCTATGATCATGGACCGGCTGTATGGTGGCGTTTGTTATGCAGGAATTGATACAGATCCTGAGCTAAAATATCCAAAAGGTGCTGGTCGAGTTGCTTTCTCCAATCAGCAGAGCTATATTGCTGCCATTAGTGCTCGGTTTGTTCAGCTTCAGCACGGTGATATTGATAAACGTGTAAGTTGCATATTGGGAAATCATTTAAGTCCTATTGTGAGGTGCTGATCCAAAGCTTACTACCCTACAGAGTTAATAATGTAATTCAAAAACCGAGTGTTTATTTTTCTATATTCCTTTAGCTCTTAAAGAGTATTATATCAAAATATCCCTGAAAATTCTTGAGCAGACTTTAAATTTTAGGTATAATACACAAAATATAAATATAATTTTAAAGGCAGTTCAAAAATTTTTATCAGCCAATAAGATCTTAATATCCTTTTAAGTATAGAGGCAGAGCTTGTTTTAAAAACTTGTACTCTGGAGTCAGACTACTTGGGATCCCATTTCCACCATTTGTTCTGTAACCCCGGGCAAATGAACCCTCTTTATGCCTCTTATTCCTCACTTATAAAATGGAAAACAGTAATAGTATCTCTTTCACAGTTATTTTGAGGAGTAAGTGAATTCACATATGTAGAAGCACTTAGAACAGAGCTTGGCACTAAGTGTTACTTAAGTGTTACTTATTTTTGATTTATAAAATCTAAAATAAAAACACATTTTGTATATTTTCCTAAATATATGCAAAAATAAATATGTAAATAAAGTAAATATATAAGGTGATTGTCCTAAACTTTGAAACATTTACTCTTTAGTAGCATTGCTTAGGTCATCACAATAAGAACTTTTAGGAAGTGTTATGGATGATAACTGTGAAAGCTACCCTATTGAATAATTTCTAATACTGATTACCATCTAAAATAAGAGAAAGGAGTGAACAAAACTCAATTGTTTCTTTACAAATCTATCTCATGCTAAAATCTGTGAATAGTTCCTGAATAATCATGTTTACATTTGTAGTACAGATGAGATATACTAAAAATATGAGGTAAATTAACTTTTTTATACCCATTATAGTAGATATAACTTGAGTGAGTACTTATTTTACCAGTGTAACAGTTTCTTGAAGCTTCTTCTCTGAGGCTGTACTGTTTTGGGGGCAGGGGAGCTGGTTAACTAATACCCATAGACCATTGACTCTAGAAGTAGTCCCCAAAATTTAATTATCAAATCTTACCATTTAGAAAAGACGTACAGCATAAGTTCAGTTCACATTTGCAAAGTGGCATTTTTGTTTGCATTGTTACTAAAAATGTTGCCCCCCAATAAAGAAAGAAAAAAATTAAGTATCTAAGAAAAAGGGCTCTGCTTTTACTCAGACATGCTATGAAATTTTCTTTAACTGATTTGAACCTTAGAGTTCCTCTCATTCAGTAGTTTCCAACCTCCACTGCACATTAAAGTTACCTGGGAACTTAGGAAAACCTTGACATCTGAGTCCCACCCCCAGAGATTCTGCTGTAATTGGTCTGGGATGCAGCATGGGCAGCAGTAGTATGTAAAGCCCCCAGGGTGATTCTAATGTCCAACCATGCTTTAGACCAGCGGTCCCCAACCTTTTTGACACCAGGAACCGGTTTCGTGGAAGACAGTTTTTCCACGGACGGGCATGGGGGGGTGGGGGGGATACTTTAGGTGGCAATGTGAGTGATGGAGGGGATGGTTCAGGTGGTAATGCGAGCTGGGGAGCAGCAGGTGAAGCCTCGCTCGCTCTTGCTCCCTTGCTTGCTTGCTTGCCCGCTGCTCACCTCCTGCTGTGCAGCCTGGTTCCTAACAGGCCACGGACTGGTACTGAGCCACGGACCGGGGTTTAGGGGCCTCTGCTTTAGACCACTGATCTAGTCTAACCCCCTACTTTTGCAGAGAGGTGATAGGGTCACAGAGGAAGTTATTTACATATTATATAATTGTAGTTGTTTAATATGCAGAAGCAAAGGGAAAAGATTATTGCAGTGTCATGTTTCATACCTCTTTGTTTCCAAAATGATAGTGGAGGACCAATTATTTGGGGCAATATATTGATTCTTAAAGAGAAACCCTGATACAAAGCAAGTGAATTGAGAAAAACTTGCCTTCTTAAAAAGGCATTGAACTACCTGAGAGAAAAGTTTACTTTTTTAAGATATGTGCTACTAAGGTATGTTTTAAACTTTATTTGAAAGAATTTGAGCCTTAAATATTTTACAAGTCATTAGTTTTGCTTATACAAAAAAATCAAACTCCTAATCTTTATACCTTTCATCTCTCTAATAAGAATATAGTTATTAAACCATAAAAACAGATTAAATTTAAATTTATAGCTGATAATCCAAAGATACACAGGATACTTATTTGGAGGGAATTAAAATTGTTTATTCAACTCACCTTTTAGGCTCATGAACACTTTGAAGTTTACTTTCATCTCCCTGATAGCCATGAAGAACAATCACCACAAATGTGTAAATCATTTTAAATTTTATATGTTATTCCATGAGTAGTATAATTCACTGTGACTTCTGGTAGTTACTGAAGTGAATTGTGATATACTTCAAGTTGGCTAATTAATTATTAATCATTTTATTATTTATGACTCCAGGTGATTGTGTATCACAGATAGCTCCTCTGAAGGGAAAAAGGGAAAATAAGAATAGTGAAGAATCAATGAAACTCCCTTTTACACATTCAAGAGCTGTTAGAGATTATTATTAATTGCAAATAGGTTTTGACTGTATTCTAAAATCATAAATTTGAAATCCAGTTTTTCATCTTTGAAGTTTTGATTTTGAGTTAAGTAGATTACCTTCATGAAATAATATCTAGAATTTAAAAATATGCAAAAGATATAATTTAGGATAATAAAATGTCCAATATATATAAAATATGTTTATCCTAACCCTAACCATGAAATACAAATGCAAACAAAAACGTAATCTCATTACCCTTCTATCAAATGTTTGTTTTACAGTTCTTTTCATCAGTCAACTAGGTTGTTTCTAGTTTGCTGTTATTGTTTTTGTTCAAAATAATGCTGAAGAAAAATACCCTTATATATTCATTTTTTGCACACATGCGAGTATTTCAGTAGAATACATTCAAAATAGAAATTGTTGGGTCATTATTTTTTACCTTGGGCAAACCAAGCCCTTTAAACGCTCAATTTTCTCTTCTCTCATGAGGAAAGGCAGAGATCTTAGGCTACCTGGCACTATTCAATCAGACAAAAGTAGTAACCTTTCATTCATAAAGTTATTACAAGCCAGAAAACAAGGCTGTTGCAGCTAATAGTAGCTAATGTTAATATACAGAGTATTTGCCATGTGCCACACTATCTTCAGTGCTTTTACTTGCATAATCTTTTCCTTACAGCTCTATAAAGCAGGTTCTATTGCCTTTCTCATCTCACAGATACAGAAACTGAGGTTAAAAAGTTTAGTATTCAGAGCTGACCTAAGTCTGAGGTCTTCTACTGCGTCAGGCTTTCACAGTGGGACTTTGACTTCATATCTTATAAATACACAGAAGTCTAGACATACCCTTAATAAGGTTATCCACAGTTCTGGTTTGTCTGTACCAGTTATTTACAAGCAGGGTATCGCTCTCACCTGTAGTAGAGACGCATTGCCATGATCAGTGGCTGCTGGGTTATGCCATCTCACAAGTGGCACTGGAATGAGAAAACAAAGGTGTAAATACTATTTGTCTTCCATACCCTTCTGTTTTTCACTCACAGTCACCCCCACCTCTGATAATATTAACACACAGGTGTTTTAAAGATGTTACTTCAAGAAAGGTGAGGGTAGAATGTTTTGCGAATCAATTAGGATTCTATAGTTTTTTTAAATTATTTTTTGTCTTTGGAAAAGAGAGTTATTTAAATACTATTCAGTTTATAGTTCTCAGAAGAAAACATATCAAAATACAATAAAATTACCAAACTAAGAACTCATTTAATCATATGGTCAATTATGAACATGAAACATAAAAAAAGATTAGTGCAAGAACAAAATGATTTAATTTTTTTTAACCTACTATATGGTGAAGCTATTACCCAGGGAAGATGCCTGCTTTCTCAGCATTGAATGTTGTTGGTCCTTTTCTCTAGAACATTGTATGAACCTTTTAAAGTATTGCTAAAGTGACTTTTGAAGCAGACTTAATGGGATATGTTTTCTCTCTTTTTCTAGGTGGAGGTAAAGCCATATGTGCTAGATGACCAGATGTGTGATGAATGCCAGGGCGCACGCTGTGGTGGAAAATTTGCTCCCTTTTTTTGTGCCAATGTCACTTGCCTGCAGTATTACTGTGAGTTTTGTTGGGCAAATATCCACTCTCGTGCAGGACGTGAGTTCCATAAGCCATTGGTAAAGGAAGGTGCTGATCGCCCACGTCAGATCCACTTCCGCTGGAACTAAGAATAGCAAACCTGCCTCTGTTTAACAAGGAAAGAAAGGGTGCATGTGGCTTACTGTGTCTGAAGATACTGACATGCAGAAGAAATAAGTGCATTCTTCTGCTCTCACCCCAGCTATCAATACATGCATCTTTATCAGCAGCCAAAACACTACAAGCCTCTTGTTTTTCACCAAAACCCTACATCTCAGGCTTACTAATTTTTGTGATATTTTCATGTTAATATAAAATGTTTTTTTGTATTTTCTCCAAGTTATTTTTATATGTAAAGTTAAAATTAGATATGAGAATGTTTTGCGTAGGGGCAAACAGTCTGCTGCTATATAGTGGGTGAAGCGTGCACTTATTTCTAAACGTGGGTTTTTAACTTCAAGATCTGCCCCAGTAATTTACCAAAGGTAGCAAAATAATAGTGAAGATGGAATATGTCTGCTACAAATGCTTATTTTTATTGTTGCTATTTTCAGTGTATACATAAACTAAAACTTAGGGTTGATTTTTTTGCTCTCCATTTTGACTTGCAAGAAATAATACCTCAAGATAATCTGATTTATTAGCTATTTTTAAACATTTTTAATCACAAGCTGTATTAGCTTTGCTGCTATATAGGTGTTATGTGTAAATGCCACCTATTAATACGGGATTGAAAACGTTAGAGACACACTGCATTGCAGATAAAATGCAGGCAGCACAATATGGCCTAAACTGCCATAGTTTTAGAATGTGAAAAAAAAATGCATGTTTACTTACCTGTATACACCATATGCATGCACTAGAATTATTAACTAACAAGAGGTGAGGTATTGCAAATGTTCGAAAAAGCTCTCTTGAATCTAGGTAGCATGAACAAATTATAAAATTTGTTTAAAAAAAGCAAACTTGCATGCATTATTGTGACTTCAAGTTAAAAAAAAATGTCCTACATGTGTACAATATGCAAATTAGTTTTAGATTAGAGAGTGCAGCCATTTTGTGATCTGGTCGGTAGTGGAATTTGATTTTATGCAGACTGGATGTAATATTTGTAATCCCTGTGCAATTTTGTGATGTGCGGTTCTAATTCATGTGCAGTGATATAGTATAGATAAAAGACTGAGTAAAAGAAAATTACTAGAATTTTAAAGAAAGTTGATTTTAGCCCCTTTGATAGTTCATGGTTAAGACATCCTTTATAAACCAAAGATGGCCAGCACACTGATAACTGGTCACCAAATGTAAGACCCACAGGAAGCCCATATTTAAACAAAGGAACTTTATCAAAGAATGCAAAA